TATAGGTCCTGAGATGAAAGTGCGTGACAGACGCACACACAGACACACGGACAACCTCTCGTCAATTTGCGTTTTTCGCATTGCATTGCTGCAAAAAACGCATAAAAATGATCCGGCAGAATTATTTACTGGAAGAGTTGTGGAAAATATTTCACGAAGGGCTTGGAATTATTATGAATAGAGGAAATGTGCTACTGAATGGAAGTTAGAGAAGCAGGACTTGAATGTGCAGTCGCAGATGTTTGGTTTATCAGAGGGGAACAAAAAGTCATTTGTTTCTGATGCACATACTAAACGCTATCCGTTTTGAAGCATTTTGCATGCGGTAAACTATCGATTGCTCGGATCGCAAATATCTATGGGGAACTAGTGAACAGACTCTCCGATCCTAACGATGAATTACCAGTGAAGGTTGAAGCGGCGATCGCTATACAGCACGTATTAGAAGGACAAGCAAGATGTTAGTTTACCGTAATAGAGAGTCACTGAAAAGAGAGGATCGACAAGAATCCCATAAAGTTCGTTATCCCCTCTATTTCCCCTTTCCTATGAAGAATGGAGGTACCTGAAAGTAACTTTGTGAATGCTAATAGCAACTAAATACTGGCAGAGCTGTCGATAGTTCATTTTTTGTAAGAGTTGCTAGATGGATGGTGGCTTTGACTGACTTACATGTGCCAGTGTTAGTTTATCGTCGAAGTAAAATTTGCGAATCAGAAGGAGAATTCCATTCGCGGGTTCAGTTGTCAACTTAGGCATGGGAAATATTGCTGATTGCTATTGCGAACATCTAAATATTTCAAGAATTTTATTACGTGAAGTTAAATTTGGAAAATATATATTAAAAAAATTTCATGGCAATTCACGTCGACACAGCAGCGATTAAAATTGTTGTGGAGGCGTTTTGCACACACTTACTAGATCTGACAAATCCAAATTGGTATTGACAGCTTTCTGATTAGAATTCTCGCCTCTTTCATTGTTACCGCTGTTTAATTTGATACTTCGATCAACTCTTCTTTCACGACAGTACACTTCAGTATCACCCCAGCACTCAATTTCCTGCTGTTTTTATTTCGCATTTTTTTAGAATGAAATGCTGAATGTAATTCTCCCTGATGCTCATGTAGGTCTTCCGGAGGTCAAAAATCGTTCCACTGCAGATCGTTCCATGTTAAAACCGCACATTCGAGTAGTGGTAATTGAAGTTTTACGTCTTGTGGCTCGAGCTGAAATCGAAGAGATGACAGGTGTCATGGATGCACTGTTAGAAGAATTTGTTGACGATATCATCCCGATTGCTGTGGATGTAGCAACAGAATTGGTAACTTTTGCTTTCTGGATTTCTCATCGGGATGCATGTGGATAATGGAGAGGTGTAGTTTTTGTTCAAGATTGTAACGAAGATACCGACCGTTTGTAATCACTAAAATTTTATGAATCAGAGCAATCCTACAGTAATGTGCAAGACAAATAAGAAAGTTTACAGTGACAATGAATTAGATGCAAATGGAACTTCTTACAGTAATAATAGTTAGCGATGCGCTACAGGTAGCCGGCTAGGTCACGCGTTTCGCGCACTTCCCAGCAGAACTAGAAAGAAGATGCAAACAGTTTCTCGCTTGGACTTTCAGATATCACGTAAAACAAAAAAATGTTCGGAATTTAAAGTATAGGGGGCTGCGCATAAAGGCGAAACATCCTATTTTGCTGTCTTACCTGAGCTAGAAAATTTGCGAACTAAATTTTTGCTATTCATAAATGTGAATTATGCACAGATAAAAAGCGATTTGGATCGTTTAAGGTTGTACATTGACAAGAAACATCCTCTCAGATTTTCAGCTTCTAATCTTGTCTTGTTCCCGGGTTAGGAGATTTTTTTTT